CTGAAGTGTTCGTCCCTCGCCCGAATGGACGCTTGATTCCCAATCACAACCCGAAATTCGCCTGCCCCCCCCCAAAACACAGGGCGCAGAGAGAAGACGGATCGGACGCGCAGACAGCACCGGGTTTACTTTAGCGAAATCACACCGTGACATTGTAAAGGTTAAAGCTAGGAAAGTTCGTGAGTGGTAATTTAAAAGCGCAATACCGGATCGGACGAGCAGAGCAACAGGGTTACTTTAGCGAATCACACCGTGCATTGTAAAGGTTAACTGGAAAGTTCGTGAGTGGTATTTAAAGCGCAAGTGGAAAGCTCTGGAAAGGTCAACTAACAGCAAATCAATAAACTCCGCCCTCGCGTTAATTGGCTGATTCTCCCGGTTGGCTCTCTGTTCTCTCCAATCAGGGCAGCCAAGTTTGGATCGCCTGCCGCGGCGATGGCTTGTTTGCATCGAGTATTCCTTCCTAACGTTTCGCTGTTTAGATCAAAGTATCTTTCAGCAAAACCTTCAAACGCACAGATTTAGGAACCCTGTCCTTGGATGTGCCGGAAAATACCTTCTGCAGCGATTATTTCACGTTCGGGTTAGAGGCTCAGTTTCTGATACTATTCATGCGGACTGCAGTAGGTCGCAAAGACCAGTGTTTGTGTTGCGCTTAATATTGTTCCCCATCGACAACCATGTGCGTGTCTTCAAGTCAAGTTTCTTGCATTTTACTGATGACATCAAGACATGGCTATCGATCGGAACGCTAAAAGATCAAGATCTGCTGCAAGCAGACCTAGATCGTGCGTTTGAATGGTTAAGGGAAAACCCAATTCATTTAAAGGGAGCAAGTGCAAAACTGTACAAGTATGCCACAGAGCCGCTTACGCATAACAGCTTGGAGACCAGATGATGCAAACACCTCACAGGGGCATGACATTAGGGTGGTGATGCAAAGACAACCTCGGCTGTTCGGCGCAGTCCTTGAAAGCGTCCAAAACCACGAACCAACATGTTTACCTACGGAGGGCCTTCGAGCGGTTTGACCCCACCATGTTCTCCCAAATGCTCAATGCATAGGTAGGATTCCATGTAGAATACGATATGCAGGCCTGACAACGCTGGTGAAAACGCGATCTGGTTACACTAGAGACCGCACAGCCAACGGCAACCAGAAATATGAAGGGGTTGTTCCACCTGCCCTGTCATCTGCAAATGAAAGCCATAGGCGCGAACAGCGGAAGTTGTCGCCAACAACGTGGCGACCTCATACTGGCGTACCAGATCTTGCAAAACACGAACACGCTCAATGCCACCACGTGAAGCTTAGCCGCAACACAAAATTGAAGGATCACCAACCGAAACTGGCAACCCAATACAGTAGACCGGAAAGCCGCTGAAATTATATTTCTTTCCGAGTTTGTCGGGAGTGGAATGCTTTGAACTTTTTTATCATCGATGAGCCCACGCCAACTATTTTTATAAACTACACGATGATACATTACACCAACTGCCTTCTTTGCTTCGATTTCTCTTCACTGAGTGATGAGAGAAGAAGTAGACTAACATTGTGCTCACTAACCACGAAATCGCTGTAAACGGATATATGTGTGTTAACGTGGATGATATGGAGAGCCCACGGATGCGCGCCTCAGCTTTGTGTAACTAACTTGTTTGAACTTACGTACTTCAACAAACAACCCTTCGATACCTGTCTAGCCATGGTTATTTTATCCCTGTTATACCACTGTTCTAATTTTTCAGTTGCATATCGTCTGCTTCAGAGCTAAAAGGGTAACTAGCGGCTCGTGGCCTAAAGGATCACAAGCCTGCCTTGTACTTCAAGGGCGCGGGTTCGAGCATGTGTAGGGGGCCAGGCGACACTCGCAGTATCCTAGCCCACGCACGACTGCTGGTAGGTACGGGTACCAGTGCACTGCTGATACATTCTACCTTCATGCAATACACGCGACTGGTTACAGCTTTGGCTGCATAGTATGCAGTTCCTTGCATGTAATGACTTAGATCGGGGTAATAACAAGTTAATTAGCAGTGACGGATGAACGACAGATTTGCAGTCCAACCCAGTGACAAGTCTACTGACGACGCATGTTGTCAGCACTCACAGTAATACGGAACCGTCATCCGTCCCATCGCCGTTGCTTCTGTCGCTTTAAGTGATAGACATTCCTGAACGGCACGTTGAGCCTACGTGATAGTATTTTCCTAAGTATTCAACCTGTGCCCAAACCGTTGTGCCTTCCCGTTCTTAACATACACAAAGTAGGTGTCACTGAAGGCGAATTACTGAATGCAGAAGGACACTTATCTGTGAATGAAAATTGTTCCTCACCAAGGTACCATCGAATCAGCTTCTCAAGCAAATAAACATCTTTCGTCTCGCAAAATAGTTAAGCCAGATAAGTTATCAGCCCGTATATATTAGAAAGCGAGAGTAGTAAATCTAAAACTAGCTAGCTAGACTCAACTACTTCCTATTGGAAGAAGTGTAATCCTCCGCTAAACCATAATCAAGATCCCAACCTACTTACAGAAGGAACCAACTGCATTTTCATTCTCATTTCTCATTAGCCTTTCTACTTACACCAAGTGTTTCGTGATCTGTTTCACAGCTTGCCTCCTACAGGACTACAGCTCTCGGTCGAACACGGTATTCGGCTCGTAGCAAACGACAGGGAACACGCCAGTTCGGCAGCATGCAAAATATATTCTGACGCGTAAAATACAGCCCCAAAACAGTTCAATCGATGATCAGCTTAGCACTGGCTACAATACAACCAGACAGTATTTTTTAATATTTCGGAATACTGATAGCTCGAATTAACGATTTATTGATTCATTTGTTCACGGCACTGACGATGCCACATCGCATGGTGGTGGAACGTATGCAACTAAAATGTTATGCTCGGTGAACAGATGAACAGCTGAGCTACAGTCTGTCCCTTTAACTGCAGAAGCGATTAACCGGTCGACTGTGCATCGGTGGAGTATCATTCCACCCATCGTGTGCACCAGACATTGCCTCCAGGACGGTCACCCCGCTCTCAATAACAACTTCAATGAAGATCCTGTATCTATAAGTGGAAAAATCGGACTGAGGCATACGTGTGCCGATAACACAGTGAACCATTCCAAATGGCAAGCTATTTCGATGGTTCGATTCACTGACGCACTCCAATGAGGTGACTCTCCATGTAAAGGAATCTATCCTGACAATACGCTCATAATGGAAGGAATGCTCGGATGCCTATCAGTTCACCTGGGATATGCGTATCTCTCATTGGCAGGAATGCCATTGAACGCCTGAATACTGTCATAGTAATATTGTAGCGAGAACGACAAGACAGGGGGGGTAGACGTTTATTGCACACCGAAAATGGGCACATGAGGGTCTCGCGCGCGCCATCGAATATTGACTAGGTTTCCGTCCCACAACGCAACACAGGTGCGGATGTTAGAGACGAGCCAGTCCTTTCGCCTCGGGAGCTTTGACTTGGAAGATCCGCCTTCCTGTTTTCGCCTCGATCTCCGCTTCTCTGCACCCGATTTGGATCGGCCAGGAGTCGTTCGAGAGCTCTCGACTTGCTTGTTCGGGGCTGTGTCAATCGGCTCGGCCTCGGTGCTGTGGGCTGCGCTAGCGGCGTATTTGTCTGATTTATTGCGCTGTCCACATGTTCCCGCTCCGTAGTTCCGGGCCCAGGCTCGTCGCTAGCCGTCTTTCGCGATCCGCTCTCAGCTAGCTCCGAAGAGCTCCCCAGAGCCATTCTTGGAAGCGGCCCCTCTACACCCGCCCCTCCTCCAGGACCTTTCTTCCTCTCGTACCATGGTCGCAGGAGAGCAGCATTCACCCAACGTTTCATTCCTCCGCAGTCGATTAAGAAGTTGCCCGCTTTCTGGTCGATAATGGTGTAGGGGCCTTTCCAGCGTTCTCTGAACTTGCTTGCGCCCGGCCCGTCATGATCCGACCGATCGTTGTTCCGTAACTTGACCCGTTCTCCAATCCTGAATGGCCTCCACTTGTGAGCCTCATGCCTGGCGTCGTAATTTCGCTTATTCCGCGCTTGTCGAGCTTTGGTTTCGCTTCTAGCTTTCCATCGCAGTCGCTCTTGATGCTCAGCTGGATGTTTCCACTCACCCTGGTTCGGTAGGCAAGTATCGAGCGCAATCCGTGGTTCTCTGCCGAACAGTAATTCGAATGGCGAGACCTTGGTGGTTGATTGCATGCTGGTCCGATACGCGATCAGAACTTGAGGCAAAGCATCTTCCCATGCCAACTTCGTGCAGTTTATCCACGTCTTCAATGTCCGGTTGAACCGCTCGGTCATCCCGTTGGTTTGTGGGTGGTACGGTGAAGTTCGCCGTCTCTGGATGCCCCACTTGTCCAACACTGACTTAAACGCTCTTGACTCGAAGCAGGGCCCTTGGTCCGTGATGATACACTGTGGGATCCCATACCTTGCAGGCACATTGAATTCGAATACTTGCGACACTGTCTCGCCTGTTTGGTCCTTGATTGGTATGGCTTCCACCCATCGAGTGAAGTGGTCAATCATCACTAGAATGTATCTGTTTCCTGCTCGACTCACTGGTAAGGGCCCAAAGACGTCCAGTCCCCAACACTGAAGTGGCTCACCAACCTCCATCGATCGCATCGGCGGTCTCGGGGACTCCATCTCCCGACTCGTTTGGCAGTTTGGGCACTCCCGAAGGTATGCCGCGACGTCCTTCCTCATAGTTGGCCAAAACACTCGCCTCCGCAGCAATTCAAAGACCCGCTCGAATCCCATATGGGCGCCATCATGAGTTATGCGCATCACACGTTCTCGCTGATTTGGTGGAACAAAAGGCACTTTCCGTCCGTCTATCGCCACCACCACGTTATCGTTTTCGACCTTCAACCTGTCCCAGATCTTGAGGAGTTCCTCCACCTCCTCCGATGTAGCCTCCGGTTTGGTGCCATCCCGTAAGTGAGAGCACAACACCTTCATGAATTCATCTGTCCTTTGATCTCCCAGCAGGTTCCTCTCTCCCATCGCGAACGCACGCACCGGTATAGCATGGTCTGGCATGATGTCGTCCAAACACGGGCGTGACAACATATCTGGCAATACATTCTGCGTACCATCCACGTGCTCAATGGTGAAGTTGAATTCCTGCAATCGGTAGGCCCATCGCGCAAGCCGTCCCCGCGGGTCTTTCGCCGTCATCAACCACGAGAGCGGTTTGTGGTCAGTGACGACCCGGAATTCATTCGCCAGTAAGTAATTTCTCCACTTCTCTAACGCCCACACGATGGCCAAGCATTCTTTCTCCGTTGTTGAATACTTCTGCTCCACCCCCGTCAGCACTCTGCTCGCGTACTCCACCACCCCAGCCGGTTGAGACAAAACCGCACCGATTGCCACGTTGCTTGCGTCGACCGCCACAGTGAACCTCTCACCAGGATTGGGTAGCCGTAGACATGTCGGGGCTTCTGCTATGCATGCCTTTAGCTGGTCAAAGGCTTGATCCGCTTCAGCTGTCCACACGAACGGCACGTCCTTGCGAAGCAGCTTTAACAACGGGCTGACCTTCTCTGCGAACTGGGGCACAAACTTTGAATCATATGCCACAACACCCAAGAACGAACGGAGCTGACGCTTGGATTTTGGTTTTGTGAAGCACTTGATAGTCTCGCGTTTCTCCGGAAGTGGATGGACTTGACCATTGCCCACGATGTGACCCAAGCATACAATTGACTTTTGGCCAATCTGCGACTTTTTACGACTGAGTTTCAGACCAGCTTCATCCAGTCTCTGCAGTACTGCTCCAAGTCTGGTCACATGTTCCTGTTCCGTCTCAGAGAAGACGATGATGTCATCACCGTACACAACCACGCCTTGCAGGTTCGCGAGGACCATCAGCAACAAACGCCTGAATGTAGCCGGGGCGTTGCACAATCCAAATGGCATTCTCAAAAACTCATACTGCTGGCCATTGACACTGAAAGCCGTCTTGTGGCGATCTTCTTCTGCGATCGGCAGTTGCCAATATCCCGAGCGGAGATCAATCAGAGATATCTGCTTCGCACTGTGAAGGCTTGAGAAAATTTCTTCCATCTGAGGCATCGGGAATGCATCCTTCACCGTCACCCTGTTTAGTTCTCTGCAATCGATGCAAAATCGATAGGTTCCGTCGGCCTTCTTCGTCAATAGCACGGGTGATGAATACGGGCTGTGCGTTCGCCTGATGATTCCTTTCGATTCCATCTCGGTCACCTGCTTCTGTATCTCCACCAGGGTGTTCTGTGGAATTCGTCTGAAGATTGGCTTGCATTGTCCTCCTGGGATCAACGGTATTCGGTGTTCAACCCAATTGCAAAAGCCGTAATCATCTTCCGCGTCTGTGAATAAGTGGGCACACCTGCTCAGTACGTTGCGTATTGCACGGTTCTGACAATCAGGCACGGCTTTGAGGGCACCAACCCGGTCGGTTCTCCCCTTGTTTATCTCGGTCGTCTCGTTAGCCACGATCACCACATCGTTTTTCAGGTCAATTGTGACACCGAGCCGTTTCAGGATGTCGGTTCCGATGATGGTTTCGGTCGTCTCCTCCACGATGAACATGTCATGGCTGATGAGCGTTTCTCCTATCTTGATTCGTAACCGCTGCGTGCCCGTCACTTTCAAAGAATGCCCGCCGACCGTCTGCATCGTGATTGAAGATGGGTTTACTGGAACCCCATTGAACCTCTTCGTAATTGACACTGCCGCTCCTGTGTCTACTATGGCTCGGACAGACACACCTTCTATAATATTAGTTATGCTCACTATAGTACTTGACGACAATTAAAACATAGACGTGCTGCTCGATTCCGTTACCGTTATTGAACAAGTTATCATTATTCAAGGATATACGGGGTATTTGTTTTGGTGCCGCAGTGCAACCGATTGTGCAAACGTACGTGTAATATAGAACTTTAAAATTCTGCAGCGCAAATCGCTTTCCCCAAAACAATTTAATCGTTGGAAGATATCATTTTCTCGCTCGCAACAGCCGTCACCTGCTGTATACTTCAGAATGCTTCACATTGCATTTGTTTTTCAGACCCCAAGCACTCAAAATAACAACTGTTTATAAATAGCTGCGATAGACAATCGAAACGTGCGCAACTTGTGGTACACGTTGAACGGTTTCCTACGTTTGGACGCGCTTAGCGGACAGAAAGGTGGCTACTGTGAACGCTGCGTCTCACAGGTCGGTCAAGTTCATTTAAGGCAGATCACAGCGAGTTTAAGTAACCTTTTGGGCCTGACTAGATCCATCAGATAACGCTGATCAGCGATGGAATGAAATTGATCACATTGCCATAAATTACAAGTGGGTTGGCCTCATCCCGGTTTGTCGCTCGTCCTGTAACACCTACGTCCACGCTGACCGTGCAATGATACGCTGTCGTTTTCCATAAACTTTACGGGTAGGTAGGTGTATCAGACGCCTCCCTAGATTAACTACTGTGAAGTCATCCAATCCCTCGTTCAGGGAAGTCTATCAGGATGACCTGCGAACCGAATTCCCCGTCCACATCCAAGGGACACTGAGCGTCAGTGGAACAGATTCTCAGCCGCCATGCACGATGAAGGAGCCTCTGCTTGCAGCACTAACAATGGCCACCGCACCAGCCACCGGATTTCCGAGATATCGGCGCAACCGTTTTAATCCAGAAGAAAACTTCATGGCTCCGAGCACAGTGTAACTAGACGGACTACATGCGAACTAAACGAAGCGTGTTTGTTGACACGGGAACCTGGTAGAGCAGTATGGCTCAAGAAATGGAGGAGGCGGGAATAGTAGGCAAACATCACAAGCCCTTCCAATTGACCCGCACCAATGGTCCCAGGAAAGCAGAGGACAGTCAGACAATTAAAGACAACGTAGATGCCTCGCTTCTCCTTGAAATCGGGGACGACTTAATAATCCTGTGCGACACGGCTCCATAGTGTCTCATGTAATGATGCTCTTGTACTATTTACATACTACAGCACCTTTGTATTTAGGCTGTAAATAGGCTTCCGTAACAATCACTGTATTCCACACTTCTAATGGTACAAGAGCATTTCTCTTAGATGGCTGCCGACTGAACCACCCATTGCGACACAGAGAATTAGCATCGTATGCCTTATTGCTCCTACCTACTGGCTCCAACCGCTTTGGCTATATGCTGTAGACGGGCATCCAGCCCCACCTCGCTTTTATTACACTGCCTGTTTTACCTCGTTTCTCCTAGCAAGCTAGGATGACTGAAGTGCATTTCGCGACTTACCGAAATAGCTTCGTATGTGTTTTTGCTCGCGTATCCACCCAATTGTTTCAAACCGTTGGGATTTTCACTGTAAACTGGCGTTTATCGCTACCATCTGCTTTCCACCACGGTTTGCATTAGCTTTTGTCTCCTAGCAAGACAGAATTACTGATTCGCCCTGCGCAATGCAACACCTGAGCCTCGTATCTACTGGAATACACCTAGGTTTAACATAATTTAATGCCTATCCAATTTGTCATAAACGAGCATCCGGCCCCAACACTTGCTTATCATTACTCAGCCTTCACTAGCTATTTTCCCCTTGAAATATGGGACGACTTAATAATCTTGCGGGACGCAGCGCATTAGCCTCGTACATACTGACACACATGTACGCTTTACCCCTGCAGCGTCTCCCACGCCTCGCTGTAACCGGGTGTCTAGCCCCAACTCGCATCTCCTCGATTGTTTCCGCTACTATCGTTTCGTAAGAACTCATGTATATAACATTTATGACAACAAAGTTACACAGTACACAATGTTTCAACGGTTAATCCTTTGTTGCATGTTGTTCACTGTTTCAGGAGCGTTTCCTCTGCATTTCCGTCTGGCTGTCCTTTCGTTTGCCTACTGTCCGTTGCCCTTCTTTCCGAGTTTTTCAGGTATGTTGTGCGGCACCGGAGGGACCATGCAATGACGGCAGATGGTGCTTGAGCAGCGATTAACATCCCCACTCGCATGAGGTCCAAGATTCCCTCGACTGGATACCGAAATAAATTCAACGCGACGCAAGGAGACCTGACGCCATATTATTTGACAAGCATGCGAAAAATGGACGATACTTGATTGTGGATAGCGGCGTAAGCAGTAGGTTCGAGGTCAAATCAATCCAACTGACCGAAACACAACTTGTGTCACTGATCCAACATTTACTTACAATAAATACCGATATCATCATTCATGCCTATCGACATCTTCGCATACACTAAAACTTTTGCTATTTCAGAGCCAATTCATCATAATCCACACTTAGTTACCAGTTTTTGACAAGTCTGGAAAAACATCAGACAGCGCTGTTTTGGCATTCTGGATCTCGTCAGTGGGGCAATTCCCAACGGATCCCTGCCGGATCCCTGCCGGATTCCAACCCCATGACTTCCGGATGCCAGCATCCAGTGCCACGTCGCCATGGGTGACAGTCGAGCACCTGCGTGATTGACAGTTGACTATGATATAGTCCAGCTAATCTTGCTATTTTAACTTGTGAACAGTTATCACAACCACATCTCATGTCTTGGTTGTCAACAACCTACTCATTTACTTTGTTAAGACTAACACTTGATCAAACTGAAATCGTACATTTCTATGTGTACAAAAGTGAGCATGCCATTTTTGATGTGTCTCGCGTAACGTCAAGAACAACTTCGAGAATAAAAAACGCCGCCTGGCTCGTTGGGCGTAACACTTCCGAGAACCACTCGGTTATACCCATGTTACCGGGCCCATTCTTCCTCAGGTGGTGCAGGCTGAGTTATGGCCGGTTTGTTTAAATGCTCCATCAGAAGCTGAGGTCCGAAACGCAATCGCAGCCCTTTACTTGTTTTAGAACTGATGGTCATTCCTCCCTCGCACCAGCACTACATAAGGATGGTGGTGATGTCTCCTGTCAAAGAGTGACCTCTTTGTTCGACTAGGTTCGGAATGCCAAGGTCATCCAGCTAACTGAGTGAATCGATCGTATTGGCAATATGCAAGAAAGGCGTTCGCATTGACTGTGCCAACAACAGGGCTATTGGCACGCAATGATTCACTTATATTCTTGCTGTTTCATGAAATCAGACAAAATGAGTCAGTCAGTCAGAGACATGCGCTGTTTCCTTGGTCGCTCGTCTTCTTTCCTTATGGATGTAGATTGTAATATGATTGTGTCCGTTAGGTACTATGTCGTTCTTCTGAACTAATTTCTGGATGTTCTGTATTCTAATAAACAGAATTGACTAACAAAGTGCCTTCGTGCGTAATTTCGCCTTCTCCTTATACTGGTTTGATGGCAAACGATTGGCTATCACTGAGGAGACATCATCAATGAGCTCCTATCCGCGATTTCCTTCCTTTGAATAAGTTTGACCCTAGTTCGTGCAAATAGGCACTGCACCATCGTGTAGCAAGCGATGTGGGCTCACTTGTATAAGTTGTGAAAACATCATATCAAGATTAGCATACTTCGGACTGTGATGCAGTAAAACCGTGTCATCTGATGATCATTGATAGCTTTCTTGCATTCATACTCTTACGGCACGACTGACGGAAGGATTGACCCAGACCTTGTTTTGAAAGACAGTTATTAGCGAACATAGTAGCAAACATAGCATATATATATATATATATATATATATATATATATATATATATATATCAGGATACACAGTGAGCTTCGTATCCGCGTGTCGAAGGCAGCAGCGGCATTCGGTAAGCTAGAGTACCGAGTGTGGAACAACCATCAGCGTACCATTGGCACGAAGCTGATGGTGTACATATCCATGGTGCTGTCCGTTCTTCTATACGGCAGTGAAACGTGGACGATGTACCGTCGGGATGTGCGATATCTTGAGCGGTTCCATCAGCAGTGCTTGCGACGGATTTTGCGCATCGTTTGGGGTGACAGAGTTGCAGACACGGAAGTGTTGCGCTGTAGTGGAATATATGCAGTGGACTGCATACTTTTGCTGAGACACCTGCGGTGGATCGGTCATGGGTGCCGTATGGATTCAACATGGATACCGAAGCAACTCTTGTATGGTCAGCTGAGTATTGGGAAGCGGCACGTGGGGAAAACAAAGTTACGTTACCAGGACATGATTAAAGTGAGCCTCTCACGTTCTAATCTTGATTGCGCATCATAAAAATCGAAGGCGGTTGATCGGCGTGCATGGCGCGATCTGATCACGAAGGCAGTTGCCGAGGTGCAGGAGAAAGCCCTCATGTATGCAGAGAAGAAGCGGCAAGTGCGGAAGCGTCAAGCACCGATGGGTTGTTCTCCATCGACATCAAGCGCATGGTGCTGTAACACATGTGGTCGCGAGTGCCTGAGTCAGGCAGGCTTAGTGAGCCATGAGCGAGGCCATTCGGGACTACTACCGAAGCGACGACGGGTTCTGCAGAGAACATAGACAGAACCAGCGCAGCGTTTGTAGGTACGCTGCATTCGATTTACTAACCGCGTGCTTGCATGCTAAGTCTCTTTATTTCAGGTGGTGCGTTTTCAATTTTTTCCTAATGCTTTTCTTTCTCAAGTGAATGTCTACCTGTACACTCTTCTATAAACTTGAACAGATCGCTTAAGCCCATTGTAGTTAATTTCGATAACATTTTCGCATTTGTGTCATTTCCGTAAAATATACTTCCTGACCCCCACAACTTATCTCGGATCCTTTGTTAACAACTTATTTCATATGTTCATTAAGAATTATGTCACAGTTTCCTTATGCACTACTCAATTTATTTTCCGGATATCTTTCTCTCATGATTGGCTGTTGCTTGATATCCCCGGTGTGGCTGCGCTTGATGTGCATGTTGACAAGGTGCCTACCTGTCTAGTCCCCACTACCTCGTCCATACTGGCTCTAGGAGACAGTTGGCCGTTGCTGGAGAGGACGGATTGTATAGTTCTTGTGGTCGTGTTAGGATCAAAGAGTGGTTCCATGCACTCAGTGTGGAGCGGACTACGGTCCAGCCACCGCCTTGTGCTCATTGATTCCCCAAATACAGCATGCTTGTGTTTCCCTGTGAAGGAGTGTGAGCCGACTCCGTTGATGAAACGTGGCTCCCATCCACATGCCTCCCGGTCTAATTTCTTCGGGTTTACACTCGATATAGTGTGTGTGGATGAAGCCGTGGATGGTGCAGTGCAAGTAACCCATGGTCCCTCTGTAGGCGCAGGCGTCCATTTGCTGTCTTATGGAGGCCATAGTAACAGTTAAATCCGGAACCGGATGCTGCGATGCATAGATCCGGTCACTCAGTTCGTACACCTACAACCTGCATTCCTTCTAAAGGCACCTCTAAGATTCGAGCCCAATTGTGACTTACACTGCAGAGTTCGGGACGAGGTGAATACATCCGAGAAAGACTGTCTTCAAACTCTATCATAGGGAGGTCAAAGCAAGTAAAACTGCAAAATACTGGTATTCTGGCAACTGCAGCTTACGGAATACTGAAAAACGCATGCTGTGTGTAACGCATTTGTGTAAACATTATGCCTGAGTGATGCAGTGTGGCTTCCGTGAACAGGTTCCAGTCTGACGGTATGAAATTTGCCAAAACAATGTGTGTTTATCTATCAAACATGCGTCAACAAAAGTATGGTAGTGAATTTCGGTGAATGGACAGCATTTCAGATTGACTGAGGTGTGAACTGAAATGGGGTGTGGATTTGAGTGACACAGGCGGTACACACGCACTGATAACAAAGGGCTCAGTGAGAGACAAATTCAAGTTTGTGGGCTCCCTGAACCTAAGCAATTCGATGTACTAGAAGGCCAGGCAATAAAGTCAGCTTTTTCTTAAGCCGTATCATCTAGCGTCCAGCGAACTTCTAATACGGAATTGGTCCTCCATTGAGTGTTTCCTCTGGCGGCTGTCGTGTGTCCGGAGGTTCTGTGTTGCGGCCGTTCTTTCGCCCTTGCTCATGATCCCACCAAGACGGATAGTCTCCGTGATAATCAGAGGTCTGATAGCGCTCTTCTTTCGAAAGGCCAGTTCTCGCGCTACCTCATCGAAAGAGCGATTTCGGGTTTCCGGCATGAAGAAATAAAAGAACACCCAGCAGATCACCACAACCACCAGAAATGGCAGGAAGGAGTAGCCTTTGATTGCTTTCTGAAAAGAGAGGGAGTGTTGCCTTCATAGAATGACCTAAAACAGCAATTGCAAAACCTGATCCATATCATACGAATGAGTTAGACGGAAGATTATTATTGCATCTTCAAGCCAGATATCTGGTGTGGGCGGCTGAACGCTCGGAAGAACCAGCCAAATGTAAGGTCCGCAAGGACGCCGTCACTAATGGAACAATAGAACTAGGGTGTATTACAGCTAAAATAGCATTGCTTAACAAGTTATGTGGAATGGAAATAATTGAAAAATATGACGATAAAACGAAAAACGCTTTAGTGAAGTTACCATAATATTCGCACTGAGGCATGAGTGAAACGCCCGAGATGTTCGCATGATAATAAGCACAAATCCACTGGGTACAATCTTAGAAACACAGCGTTTGTTGCATCTTGCCGCCTCCTAGGCAACACAAGTCATAAAAGTAAATACGAATGGGACAGTGCTTTTTCCTTTTGCTTTGTATATCGTTAGGTTGGGGCAGAAACAGCATAAGATAAGCGAAGGTTTTAGGCTGATATACTCGATGCTTGATAAAACATCTTCAATCAAGTCGGTTGACTAGGAAGACGCCCCGGGATCCTCTTCTACATCCCGATCCATTTCTGTTTGCAGAAAGTTTTTTGCACGTGGAATCAACCAAGTCAAGCTAATTCATCATGGAGTTTCTTTCAGATGATTGTGGTGAAACTATTGGTGGAGGGCTATACGTCAAGAGACGAGAACTACACTGATTTTGGCTGTTCTCAATTTGTCAGTGACAAATGAACAATGAAAGAATGAATACAATAACAGTTAGACAGAGATGACGGCGGAATGACATTTCTTCATTATAAATTTGCATACCGGAAGCTAGAGTCCGCTGATAGGTAGTAAATGGTTTGATGATCTGGACAACTTTGTTGCCGATGAACAATGAACAATGAACAATGATTTATCACGGGATAAAAGCAAGTGCTTGACACGTCCCGTAGGATGGTTGAGGTGAATATGATAAAATCAAAATATGTCTGGGTCATCTATCGAACGTCTGCCGATATGAATAGTTTGATAAGCAACATCAGTGTAAAATTAAAATAAATTATCGGGCGGAAACATGCAGAAAGACACTGGGGTGCAGTGATCATTGAGGTAAAGAGTGAGAAAAGTAAAATATGGTCGCTCACTTAGGTCCATTTGATACATAAAGCCTGTAGAAATGCATCCTTGGCGTAATCCACAGTAGGGGAATTTAGGTAACAAAATGTTGGGAGCTAAGAGCGACATCTAATCGTTTTTTGAAAACATCCAGGGTAGGAGAGGATACAACTGAGTCAGGAAGTGCGTTCCAAGGTTTGCAAACCCGAAGGGAAAAGTAATTCCGTCGACACTCTAGACGGCTGTATTGTTCCTTCAACTTTAGGCAGTTACCCCTGAGCTGCGTGTTGTGGCTACGTTTCAGCAAATGGCTGCATACGTGATTGGGGTCACTCAATATTTGATAGGCTAATATGAGATCACCGCGCAGTCTTCGATAGCGCCCGCTGAAAATTCCCAACAACTTCAGCCTTCGGTGATAAGAGTGGTAGCGCAGACCCTGCACATTCTTTGTTGCTCTCCGTTGCGGTGCCTCTATCGCTTCTAGGTCACGCTTCAACCAAGGTTGCCAAGCTTGGATAGCGTATTCAACATGCGGGCGCACGTAGGAATTGTGCATCATTGGGAAGATTGATGGGTCAAATCTCCCGAATGCTCTTCGCAGCATGCCGACATGCTGGTTGCCTCTTTTCGCAGCTACCTCAGCCTGTTTTGAACAGTTGAGGTCGCTCTGTACGATCACACCCAGGTCACGTTCCTGGGAGCTATTCTGCAGTCCGTTGGTCCCAAGTGAATAGGTGTAGTTATGACAATGGCGTAATTGTACGACGCGACATTTGTCTACATTGAACGGTAGGGCGTTTTGAAGTGACCAGTTCGACACTGTGTTAAGATCGCACTGGAGCCGTTCATTGTCTTCCGGCCCTCTGATCCTTCGCCATATCTTGATATCGTCAGCGAAAAATAGGAAATCGGAAGTAATTGATCTCGCCAAATCGTTAATGAACACCAAGAATAGACGAGGTCCAAGAACCGAGCCTTGTGGTACTCCGCACGCCACATCGATTGCATCAGACAATGATTCTCGGACTCTCACCACTAGCCGTCGTTCTTGTAGAAAATTGTCAATCCAACTCAGGATTGGGTCGCCAATGCCGTAATTACGAAGCTTGTAAAGGAGAATGCGATGGTTTAAGCGATCAAATGCTTTTGAAAAGTCCAAGTAGATGACATCGACCCCTACTCCATCATCAACAGCTTCAGTCCAGCTATTACGTGCAATTAATAGGTTAGTATTACACGAATGCTTTTGACGAAAGCCATGTTGCTCTGGGGCTATTAAATTGTGGCTTTCCATGTATTCCATCAGCGCGTCTGCGATGATTGATTCCATCACTTTGGATAGTACTGGAAGTAGTGTTATTGGGCGGTAGTTGGCAGGATCAGTGCGGCTACCTCCTTTATGAATAGGAGTGATGACCCCTTCCTTCCATACTGGTGGAATACGGTTCTTCTCTAGACATCGCTGATAGAAAATAGCCAGTGGTGCTGCTAGATCACTAGCTACTGCCTGTAGAGCCTTTGGTCGGATATTGTCAGCTCCGGGAGAACTGTGGATACGCAAGGATAACAACTTCTTCAACACAGCTTCCGCAGTGAAGGTGATGTTTTCTAAACCAGATGAAGGAGTAGTAGGAATGAGGAGAATGTTCGTGCTCGTTACCTCCTGGAAAGTTTTGGAGTAGTGAAGCCGTAGGAGATCAGCTGCTTCCATTGCTGATCGCGTGCACCCATCAGCCGTGACTAGTGCTGGAATCCCCCGCTTTACCTTTCGAAGGCCGTTAACGTGCCTGTACAGGAGTTTGCGGTTCGTACAGAAGCGCTTCATTAACTTCTGCTGATGAGTGACCTTGTCTTCGCGGATCAGTTTCACACAGAAGTTACGATGGGTCACGTATGCAGTCCACGTTTCGGCATTCGGGCAGTCCTGGTGATCTCGCCATGCCAAATCCCTCCGGGACATATATTTACGTGTCCTGCTCCTCAGAAATGAATTACGCTTGTTTTTAGGTTGGAAGGACTTCTCCTCTGATGCGTGCGCTACCAGTGTACTAAACGTCCTTGTAAATGTTTCCCAGGCAACATCTGGGGGGCATTCGGTTAAGAAAGTCCAGGATGTATCCTTAACAAGCTTAGACAACACATTGTAGTGTGTGACAGTATGCACTTTATCCTCCTCCTTTTCAGGGTACTCGGCATAGCATATATAATCAAAGAGTAGAGTAACATGATCACTACGACCCAGTGGTGTGCTTGTAACTATCCCGTCAACCATGAGTTCTTCGTTAGTGAGCACAAGATCCAGTATCGACGGCTTGTTAGCAGTTCGAAATCTAGTGGGAGAGGTTACGTGGTTGTAAAGAGGGTGGCTAGCAATAAGCTCTTGCAAGCGGGCTTTAAACTGCATACCATTGGTTGCCGGCGTTTCTATGTCATGCACGTTAAAGTCTCCAGCGATAAGAATGTGGGTGTAGGACTTGTTCAAAGCAAACTGGAAAACGTGGTTCAGTTTGGAGTCCATTTCCGAAGTTGAGTTTGGCGGGCGGTAAATCACGGCTAGTAGACATGTGCCCTTGTTTCGCAACCATAGGCGGCACCAAAGCGAATCGGGTGCTCTGATTTCTGGGTGGTCGATAACTTCACATCGGAGGTTTGTATTGTAATAAAGAATCACACCGCCTCCCCTTCCGGTTCTATCGGTCCGAAGCAGTGACATACCGGGTAAATTGATCTCAGAGTCGGTTATCTCAGGGTTTAACCATGTCTCTGTAATCATGACGAGGTCCCGCGGTTGTGAGGCATGGAGTTCTCTAAGTTCTGCCAGCTTGCTTAGAAGGCCTTGAGCGTTTGTATACATGCAAGATAGGGCTTTCGTTGTTAGGAGTTCATTGATAGATGTCAAGTTTGTGTTCGCTTTTAAGCCGGCCGTTAGGTGGCCGGCAATTAATCGTTTTTTGGTTTATGTATTTCAGTCGTGTTGTATGGCATTATTAAGCGTTCCTGAACAGAAGTTTCACTGGTGCTGTGCTCGGTCCTCCTGTGTGCCGTGGGCGCAGTTGTGTTGGTCTCTCCGCAGGACTGTGCAGATAAGGAATTTGCTGCGTTTTCAAGTTCCGTTGAATTGCTTCCGACTTTTGATCGTACACCTGCTGCTTTTAGCCGGATCTCTGTTGGCAGCCTAGATCGAAACTTTAACCAGCTATCTAACAGAACTTGCGTCATTCCCTCGGAGTGTAGTGTTACTTTAATTAGCCTTGGACCGCAGCCCTTGTAGTTAGGTGATGACGGCACTCTTGTCAGGGATTTGGCAATAACATTGTCTACAGAGAGTGCTTCACGGATGTAGCACCACTGCTCTCGGTCATGAGTTTGTGCATCGTGATCAGAAGAATGTAGAAGCTCGGGAACTCCATGAACAAATATGGTTCTCTTGCTATCTCTATTAGCAATACCGTGTTGCTCCACTGCTTCTTTTGCGCGATCTTTCCAAGGTAGATCAGGCAATATGCGTACTCCGCTCGGTGAGTTGCGAAGACGAACTGCTGAGAGCAGGACAGCCTCTGTCTCATCTGCTGAGTTTAGTGTTACTCGAAGAATTCGAGGTTCACCAGAGTGCACTGAGGTCGGGTGACGCGCTACGCGTTGCAGCATTGCAGGCTCAACCCGAATGTTAATTGCCTCGCAGATGAAACTCCACTGGTTGCGATCGTCTTGCAATTTACCTTTTATTGTTCCAGATTTGGATTCGGGAACATTGGTGCACACGAGGGTTAACGCAGCGTGGTTTTGTCTAGTGAGTGTTGGCTTTATACTTTTTGCTGGCGATTCGCGTTGTTTAGAGGACACCA